GATTTGTAACTAGACATGTTTTGTAAAAAATTTAATTGCAAACATTTTTTCCTCTTCCATTTTCGCCTAAAATCAACTCTTGAAAAGATACATAATTAAATAGGAAGAAAAATATGACATTTTTCGAATTTTTTTAACATATTGTGCCGCCAAAAATTTAGCCCACGTTTTTTTTTATGCGCATAGAAAAATTTTCATTTCTAGTGATATTTGAAAGCCAAAAATCCAAAAATCTCCGTGGATATACGATTCACCCAAATATGGCTTTTTGAAACAGATACCGTCTGCACCACAGGCGCGTAGAGCGCATGCTCCGCCTCGCTCTCCCCACGCGTTCGCTAGACCGAGTAATAGAACGCATCGCCGCTATCTTTTTTTTTGCAATTAAATAGTTGAATTCTCCTTAATGTTAATTGATGAATAAAATTGAATTTTTTGCCTACTAACGGAAAGTTTTATATTACTTTTTCGTACCGTAGATTAATGGTTAATTTCTCCATCAGTATTCGATAGGTACATTTATGTATTTCTAAAAGTGTCCAGGATTAGTTCCAAGGAAATGTATTTTTTTTAGGATGTTATCTTTTAAATTTACTGGATAATGATACTGAAGAACTGGCCATTAAAGAAATCACAGCAAGTGAAATAGAATTTATTGGTGCTTCTTGTTGTACTTTGCAAGATATTTTGTAAACAGTGGAAGATATAAAAAAATGTGTCATTTTATAAGAATAGTCGCTGTCGTGGGTGCCATTAGATGATAAAAAAAAGGATAGTGATAAAAAATGTGTTATTCTGATGCCTGGAAACTATGCGGCTCAGGACCTATGAATTTTTTTCTTGCACTTGGCTAAAGAATATTCGTTAAAAGTTTATTGTCGAATATTACAACACTGTATTTTAGAACTAGGTGGAGCGAACTCGATATTTGAGTAACGACTATAATTATCGGCCCTAGCTTTTTCGAAAGGATTAAAATGAAACTACTTTGACTTGATATAAAAAGATTTTTTATTCAGGAGTAGAAAACAGATAGAACAGAAAATATCTTACAGTTTTAACATTTTTCTTTTACAGTATACCTACTTATTTGCATTTTCCGGTATATTTATTTTGAACATAAACCTTAATTTTCAACCAATCTTTTGTTTTTAATAACTCTTGATGTTGCTGAATTAGATCTTCACATTCTGCCCTTTTCGGTGGTTTTTTCTTTTTAATATGATTTGCGAAATATGATGTAACCACTTTCTTTTGTTCTTCTGTCCATTTTACTAATATCCGTCCTTTTTTCGGACACTTTAATTTTTCTGTATTAGAAGCAATGTCTTCAGAATTTCTGGTATCTAGATCTGCACTATTTGTTGTATCGTACTCAATTGGTTCAATTTCTCTAGTTTCTATATCTTCTATTTCATTTGTTTCTGCAAAAATATCGTCTTCCATGTTAATATTAATTTCGTCTAGTGTCTTGCCCTTAAAATTTCCAATTTCACCCTTTTCCATCAAGAGTAATATTTTCGCAATCTTTGAGGTCTGATAAACATCATCTGGTAGTCTGTATGATTGACGATGGATGCCTACCGTGTGACCCATGAACGTTGCTAATTGTTCTAAATCTGATTCGGACATGTTGAAAACTTGCGATAATGTAGCCAAATGCTTTCGTAACTTTGTGCATGTTAATCCTTGCGGATTTTTTGCGCCACAAGACGATGCATATTTTTGTAATATCTTGTATCCAGTAACTGGTTGTAGAGAATTTATATTTGGAAACAAATACGGATTAGGTTTTTTCAAAAACTGGGACCTATATTTTATTAACAAATTTATATATCGGTCGATAGCCGCACGGTTTAAGGCGTCAGTACTTAAATCGATGTGTCGAACTGCCCGGGTTTCGAATCCCGCGGCCGGTGACCGTAGATTATCTATACTTGTACGGAGGATTGGCGCCCTCTGTGCAGGTATGGTAGGGTGGAAGAATGTTGGCTTGGGTCAATGTGAGAGATTGACACCGGTTGGCATTTGACCACCCCCCTAATTAATGAGGTTTTCCAGGTTTCCCTCATTCCTGCACTGAATGGTGGTTAGGGCCTACCAACATAAGTCACCCCTGGGTGCAAATGTGGCCTGCATAATAATAATATGCCGCCTCCTCTCCCGCATAAGTCTCCGACTTCTGGGCTAATTCTCGTAATTAGAATGAGGAGTAGAGATATTATTATTATATATGTTCTTGGACATCTGTACTAAACAACACAGGTACACCACGACCTCGTTTCCCCCGAATAACGAGACGTTTAAATCTTTTCAACAAAATTTTTTCAGTTGCTGAAATTGCGCCTTCAAACTCTTCGTAATTTTGTTTATTCGTAGAATAACATTGGTAAGATTTTAGCAGAAGCCTTTGTAGTTCCCCGGGCCTTTTTCGGTTTAGCAAAATGACTCTGCAGTACACCGTTTCAATTAAAATTTTGTAGTCATTTTCTGAGGCAGATAATGTTACCAGTTTTGCTGTTTCTTGGTTTCCTTTGTCAACTAGGTAGTCTTTAAGAAGTTTTAAATCACTCGCTAGGGGTATGATAGTTACCTTGTTCCATTTATTCATATTTAAAGTGTTCATGGCCTGGGTCGAAACTTCAAATCTCCAGTTTTCATTCATTAAGTGAATTAACGTTTTCACGTCAGCTTCTATACTCGCGCTAGATACATTTCCATATATGTCTTTTTTTTTCAAAGCACACAAAATGATGATATCACAACATTGCTTTAAAGATGTGCTTATATTCATGGCATATGTTGCAGATTTATACGATTCTGTTTGATTATCATAATTAGCAACTTTTTTTGTTGCTTGTACTATTAAATCAAAATTTTCCGGTCTAAGAATTTCAAATAAATCTTTGTATCTAGAATCCATCTTTTTCGCCTCGATGACCAATCGGGCCAATTCTCTCATTTTTCTCGATACAACATTAATGAAGTGGACTTCTCTATGGAGTTTTAAATACCGTGCGCCGAAAGCACAAATCAGTTTATCCATCTTTGCTGTTAGTGATATAGAATCTGGTCTCATTCTGGGGAACACTTTGGTTTTTAATTCTTCATCAATTTTTAAATATTTGATCATGAAATTCTGGGCATCTACTTGAGAATTCTTAGTTGTTAGATTTTCGTTGCATTTCTTTCTGTTTCCATAGCTATCGTTTCGAATAAAATCCAAAGCAATGAGAACACGGTAGAAGTTCATTACATTGTATACCTTTCTTCACTGGTTTTTGCGTCTGTCCAGAGTTCAAATAATTCCCTTTCTTTCGCAACATTGCTATTAAGTCTTTTCTTATTTTGTTTTTAGGGGGATATGATAATATTTTCTGGACTTCTATTTCTTGGGAGTGATTTCTGGTTACATGTCTGGCAAAGCACTGCACTAAACTTTCGCAGAAATAGCAAAAATCTTTTTGTCGACGTCTCTTTCCATACAAGAGATCATCTGCTTCAGGTATTCCCTCTTCATTTACAGAGTTTGAAGTAGTTGGTAGAAGTTCCTCAAGGAGCATTTCTGGAGACATATTATGTGATATCAAATTATCATGATTTGTATTTTTAATGGGCAGTGATTTTTGAACAGGTATTTCTTCAGAAGACATATATTTCATCATAACTTGGTTGTCATCATTTGTTTCATAATCGGTTTCATCAGAACTCTAAAAGGAAAGGAAAATTGAACACTATTTGGTTAGAAGCAAATTATAAAATTAATAGAGAAAAAAAGAGATCAGGGATCAAGTAACGGAAGAACGTAAATCAGATTCGTTCTTGACCGTAGCAAATATTTTAAGAATGCACAATACTATAATAATTATAATGAACTATCAAATTTTATATTAATGGTAATATAAATGATCAGTTTATACAATCGACATCACATACTATTTGCGGGTGAAATATATTGGACTGCTGCTCCCTGCCTTGGATCAAGTGGCTCGATTGGCAGAGACCGACTTGCAATGTCGCAGGTACAGTGTGGTACACTACTATATTTTCACCCCATCATTAACTTTTTTGTTTTTAAAGTTATAAAAAAATGTGAAATACTAAAGTTGCACGTTTTTATGAAGTTTTTGAAAATGATAGAAGAAAAACAAAATGGCAGCGGATGTTAACTTTGTTACTTTAAATGGAACATTTTTACATATTTGGATAGAATGTTCTCTACCGAGTATGTCCATATAGGATTTGTTGGATTCATCTATAAGAATAAGCGAGATACTATTAAAAAACTAAAATAATGTTTTTTTATTAAAAAAAATAAGATAATTGTAATTGTTAGACCTCTTCCAATTACGTAAGGATTTACAGATTTAGTTAATTTAGTTTAGTAATATATTTTGACATATCGGACATTGATGCGGTTCAAAATGCATACAGATATTTTAACTATATTATATGGTAGGCCGTGAGGGTGACATATAATGTCATGACAACATTGTTATTGTTTGACAGTTTGTATTATTATTTAATTAAAATGGGTTAGGTATACAATTAGGTTTGTCTATGGATTACACATTACATATCACTGTCACAGCCTACCATATAACATTGTCCATGAGCAATTAGGCCTCTCACGGCCTAATTAGTGAGATTTAGTTAAAATACCTATACGCATATTGGACCGTATTAATGTCCGATAGGTATATCAAAATATATTACAAGTAAATCTATGGATCCTTACGTAATTGAAAAAAGGGAAGAAATGCCTAAAAGAGGTCTAGCAATTACAAGATAGATACCTAGTTATCTTACTTGTTTTTCTACTATTATTTTCGAAAACTTTATAAAAAATCGTGCAACTTTTGCATTTCACATTTTTTTATAACTTCTAAAACAAAAAATCTATATCTCGAAAACAAAGCGTTTTCGGCCCTATATCTATAGGTATTTTTTTTTACTTATTTTTATCTGAGGAACATGTCCTTAACGTTTGTCGACTTAATCCTGAAACACCCTGTATAATGATAGTGCAGGAAACAACAACTCTGTGGGCTAATACCCCGACGAACAGAACTGAATTACACCTGCAACATCTCGCGAACAGCTAAGAACATTCGTCAGTAGTACCACCAGACATATACCGATTTCGGGCTTGTTAGCCTTCATTAGTATGCCATAGGTGAGACGATCGATGAATAAACTAGCTATTTTTCATATGTACGAAGTGACATGAACTGAGTGTGGGTGAGATATCGAGCCACTTGGGCCAAAGCAGGGAGTAGCAGGCCAATGCATGTCTTCTGCACTCAGTTCATGTCACTTCGTACAGATGAAGAACAGCTAGTTCATTCGTCGATCGTCTCACCTGTGGCAAACTGATGAAAACTAACAAGCCCGAAACCGGCATGTCTGGTGGTACTACTGACGAATGTTGACTTGCGAGATGTTGCAAGTGTAAATCAATGCTGGTCGGGGCATTAGCCCGCAGAGCAGTTGTTTCCTGCAATATCATTATATCACATACTGTTTACTAAGAATAGGAATAAATCTAAAATTTTAATTTAAAAAGGAATGTTAAGAAAATGTATCGAATAAGTAAAAGTTTATTACCGTTGTGTCAGAACCACTAGGACAATATTCAGAGCCTGATGAATACCGTATTTCTTGGTCAGAAGATTCTTGTACCTACAATTATTAAATGTATTTAATATTAATTAAATTGGGGAGCAACAAATTTCAATACAATACGTTATTTTTTTTTTAATCACACTGAAAAATGGTAGACCTAATATGGTCCACACAAAAATATTTACTTATTTTTTTTTACATCAACTCTAAAGTCAACAATACAAATCAACAAAATACCACAATACTGTGTTGAAAATTGACATTTTTTTTAAAGGTCACATAAGACAAAATTATAGGAGTGGGTTAATCTTAACCTTTTCGTCGTTTAAAATGGAGTCTTCAATATTCATCGAAGGATCTGATGAAGAAATTGTTTCTTCTTGAACTTTCGGACTTTCATTAATAATAGGTGATAAAGGTGCATTACAAAACCAGCGAGTTTTCCTTTTTATCCGGGAAGAGGCACTGGTGACTTGATACTGTAAAATATAAATAAAAAATTATTTTCAGTTTAAACTTGTTAAATTAAAACTAATAAGTACATATTTATGCACAGCTTAACTTCAGTTAATTGTTAATTATTGTATTATCCGAAGAAGTGTAAATAACTTAAATTAATTTAGTAATAAATTATCAATAGTTTTACATTAACAAAGTGAATTAGGTATGAATAGTTATCTAAATTTCAAATTTTTAAAGAAAATGTATCAATATGCTTAATAATTCTCAATGGTTAAGCTATGCGTAGTATTGCGTAGATATCCTTTATAATACAAATATTGTTTTGCACAAAGACATAAAGTGTAAATTTAATTATCAAAAAATATTTGACGACCATATACGGCCGCCCTATTGTTATATATGGCCGTCGTTATGACTCCACAATATTTGATCATCCAGAGGAAATATACATTAACACTGCAAATTTTTCCAG